AAAAAAGTTGATAAGCCCAAAAAACTCAAGGTGAAGAGAAAGAAATCAAGTAGTAAAGATGTTAAAGGGGGGAAGGAAGTAATGGTGTAAAATAAAATGAAGTTGTAGGAGAAAAAGAGAAAGCAAAAACAACGGATACATGAAAAAGGAAGATTTCTGAAACGATTATCAAGATAAAATTGGCTAAAAGGGTTGAAGGGAAAAATGGATTAGGCAATTCAGGTGAGCATCTAATGGATATAGATTAGCGAAAACTGGTTGTATATGTTTGATTTAAGTTTGCTTGCTAGACTACTATGTTGTTGGGTTTAACTATGATGAACGTTATGACAAAAAATTGGTTGTTAGACTAATATGTTGTTATTTGCATGTATGAATGTAATGGATGTACATAGTTATATGAAGCATATTATATGTTATTGTATTATAATGTGGTCCCATTACTAGTACAATTGTTGTATGTTGTATATTATTATATTTGTATGTGGGTGCAATTGTTGTATATTGTAAGTTACATGTTGGATCTTATTGTATGGACACTTATATCATAAAGATAAAGAATTGTATGTGTACTGTCTACACAACACAATATCATTTTGATTAAATATAAAAATGATTTCCAACACATTACAAATCCACAACACATACATTGTTAAACGTAACAGGAAACATGAAATTAGAATATTAAACATAATAAGAAAAATCCATTACACATCCATTACAACTTATAGACTAATATGACAAATAAAACAACCCAACTTTGAAATAACCAAAATTTCAGCATCCTAAATTCAATTGAAGCTTCTTATTTGACCTATCCAAAGTTGTAAACAACTGTTCGTCAACACTTACTTTTGTAGTCTCCACTTTATCTACCCAACATATAAACCTATCATGAGGACCCTAAAAATAAAAGTTTTAGGAGTATGTTACGAAAACCCAAAAAACAATTATGTAAATCTAGGTTAACTGTGGAATGAAAATGCACTTGACATTAGACCTTTTTGGGGAAAGGATAGAATAGTGGACCTAGATTGGATGGAGTAGTTGACATTCTTATTATTGCATTAAATCCACATGAGCATGCCACCATTTTCATCGATCCCTTCATTTTAGTAAGGTAAGTTGAAAGGAAACAAGAAGAAGAGAGAAGATTATAAATGTAAAAATACCCACACCTGTGTTTCAACTTTGTATACACTTGAGGGTAAAATATGAAAGGATGAAATGACCCCCTCCTTGCCACTGACTATTGTACTGATGAGGGTTATTCTCTTAACAAACATAATTTAATTTATAAACCCAACTAAACAACCTAAACAAATATAATAAATAATATAATCAAATTATAATAACGACATATTTTCCGTTAACAAAAGAGGATTACACGCATTGGTAATACAAAATTTCCTGGGGATACACAGGTCTTCATCCACTTTCACAAAATGAACTTCAACACTAAACTGAGAAACACATCTCAAGCACATAAACCTTAATACAAACACATAAACCCTAAAACAAACACAATACTACCTAATCAATACAAACAACACAACTCCGAACAGATCACTTCTTCAAAACATCAACAACCTTCGCCACCAAAAACCCAAATATGACAAACACCAGTCCGACCACCAACACCGTGACAGAGTGCAGCTTCTTCTCCATCTGATCTAACTAACGATGCAATTCCAGTAGGTCTACCCTGCTTATGACCAAAACTCGACCCATTTCTCCACTTCAAGTTTTTGTTCCGCAATTTGAGCTCCACATTAACAAAAAATCTTATGTAAATTGTCAAAGTTGAGACAGTCCCTTGAATTTATCGATACTAATTCGGATGACTGTGGTGGTGGGGTAGCCATCGTGATTTACATGAAATGGATTTTTATCGTATTATCGGTATTGTTTAGTGGAAAAAAGGAATGAAGATTTAGGATTTCAACCGATTTGCACCTCTTTTTATGTCACAAGGGAGGGTCCATAGTAAGTAGTAACCCTTAGGGCTCAAGTATTCCACGTCGACCCAACTTAGTGACATGTCCATAAATTTGACTCAGAGTTGACTCGCTTGCTTATGTGTATTGTGACTTCTATGGGTAACCTTTTAAAACAGATGAATAGACCAATTAAGCCAGTAATTTAACAACCACTTCCCCTAAAACGCAAAAATGGATCTTTTAAACCATAGCATGTAACATGGGTGAGCTATAATGACATTTACCATTTTATGTTAAGAAATACTATAAATAAATACAAATTTTAACCAACATAATATAAGGTAAAACTAATTAAAAAATATTATTATATATGCCAACTTTTAGGGCAAAATATAATTTGTTATAACTTCGAGTTATAGTCACTTGCTTTTTTGGTCACTATTTTTTATTTTAAGAACAATGAAAATCAATTTATATTTTATAGCATAATTTTTTATACAACCGCTTCAAAAAATATAGCATTATAAAATAGTGTTGTTTTTTGAGGCGGTTCTTAAACCGCCTTAGAAAATATCCAAAACCGCCTCATAAAAATAGCTTCATAAATGATACTTATTTTTTTATGTTGTCCAGAACCACCTTATAAAATATAGCTTCATAAAATAAAGTTATTGAGTTATTTTTTGATGCTGTTATTAAACAGCCTTGCAAACACCATTATTTAATGATGCTGTTATTAAACAGCCTTAGAAAATAGAGTTATTTTTTATGCTATTATTGAACAGCCTTAGAAAATAAACGGCCTTTTAAAATACAATACGAATTGCAACATAAAATATCATAAACTACTTGATTTACAATACAGAAACAAAACAACAAAAAATCATAATAGATGTAAAGGCACAAACCATACAAGAGATTCAAATTATCTTAATAAAAAAACACATTTTTTTCTAACCTTTTCATCCTTGTATCTATTTAAAAATTGATATAATAACTTCAGGTATGTAAGTTGTTAAGGAAGTTAACTACATAAGCATATTTAAGTTTTATTTGATATAGACGTGTTCAGTTTCGTTATCACCATCTTCATATGGCCCCTCTTCGGTATCTTGCAGACTTTTGGAGATGATGCCCACCTTTGACTCTGTTACCTCACTTGGGTAGGAATTCAGAAGCTAATTAAATTACAAAGTAATTTTATCAAAAGGCATACAATCCATTTAATTAAAAGGTAAATTACACAGGTTAGAAATATTATCAATACAAAGGAAAAAACTTGCCTTGATTCAATTTTTGTAGATAAAAGACATGAGATTGTTACTTTTTTTTAGGTTTTTTCTACCTTTATATCTTCCCCTGCATAGATATGTGCTCTCCTTTGAACGTCACAAGCTTCTTTGCCCAACCCCTTCTTTCTTCCACAACCTAACTTAAGAAATCAGAGTATCAGACATATAGATTAAGTAATTTTATGAATCAAAATTATAAATCAGAAACATACATGTTAGTCTTGACGTTGGGTTGATCGCAATGGACAAAGATGATTATAATGGAGGTTGACTCCTCAAAGATTATAATTATTGATCCTATTTGAGAAAGATACCTATTTAGGGCTACTTTTCATCCTTTGTATGCGGCAGTAGTCGATGATATTAGGGTTTGTGTGGCCAAATGAAATTAGATTAAGGAAATATAAAGGGGAAGAGAAAGGCATCGCGCGGGGAATGAAATTTTGGAATGAGTTTCAGCCCGGGAATAAAGAGGGAACTCAATCCAAAACCGCATCAAAAAAATGCATTTGCTATTACTGTAGTTTTGGAAAACAGCATCAAAAAATACTTTTATTAGTGCGATTTTTAAAAGTAGCATCAAAAAATGCATTTATTAGTGTTTTTTAAGAAAACGGCATCAAAAAATACATTTATTATTAGTGCGGTTTTAGAAAACAACATCAAAAAATATATTTATTAGTGCGATTTTGAAAAACAGCATAAAAAAAAGTATTTATTAGTGCTTTTAAAGAAAATAGCATCAAAAAATGCATTTGTTAGTACGTTCCTTGATTTATTAATGCTAAAGTGTTTTAATGGTGCGGTGGTAGGGTAAAACCGCACAAAAAAAAACCTCATCACACTAAAAAATACGTTTTGTACTAATGTACCAAAGATATTTAGAGCGACATATAATTACTATAAAGATTGGATATTGGTTTACTATAAATATTTTCTATGAGATATGATTATTTAAAGATGAGATATCCGTACACATGATTATAAAACAATGCAACCAAACAAGCATCTCACAATAAAATATATCATAATTAAAGTTTTTTCGAAACTAAGACCATCAAGTATGGACTTCATTTCAGGTGTAGGAATCCTATGTGGATCCTATGTGAAAGAGATGTTCACCACCCCTAATGGGTGTAATGATGGTGTGGATTGAAGCCACTCACAGGTTCTCACAACCAATCAAAATCATTTACCTCTATCTCTCTTTTCTGTTTCTCTCTTGTTCACTAGGTGTTCACTAGTGAACACCATTTCCAACCTATATTGAATAGGTTGTGAACAAATCTTGATGATGATGTGGAGAGATGTTCACGCGTTACCTTACCTAATGGCCTAAACTCCAAGTAAAAATCAAAATGCACGTGCACCCAAATAGTCACGAACAAAAGGTACATGTACAAAAAATGAAAAAGGAAAAATAAATCTGTAAGTGGATCTTACAACAAACATGTTGGTATGACTTCTGTTCGTAGGAGCCTATGTGGCCTAATCGTTGTGGACTTGTCGTCATGGATTAAAGCTTCGAGTATCTGAGGACCAATAGAATTTTATACATGTAGACTATATTCATTGTCTCGATTCAATCGTATCTTTAACAGATATACCTAAACCGATTGGATAGAGCAAAACATACTATAAAGGTGGAAAAAGAGAGTATTTTCCACGTCATTCATATCAATACATCCATTACACCATGTATATATTGTTTTATTTAGGCTATACTATACATGGATTTGTACCGAGCTTTTCAAATTTCATAGGTTGTTCATGGGCGAGATTGGCTTTCCTTAAATGCCTTGGATTCTTCAGGAGAGGAGCAACATCTATTGCAACTGCCTCCATGCCCTTGATTACAGCATCCATGGTGGCATCCACCACCCCATCCGCTGCCACCTCCACCATAGTTTCCTCCACCACCACCATAGTTTACACCATATTTTCCTTCATCACCATTTGCTTCTTTATTTACATAAAATGCTTTGGCTTCTTCTGGTGAAGTACAACATCTGTTACATCTTCCACCGTATCCTTGACAGCATCCATGGCGGCATCCACCACCCCATCCGCTGCCACCTCCACCATAGTTACCTCCACCTCCACCATAGTTTCCTCCACCGCCACCATAGTTTACACCATACTTCCCTTCATCACCATTTGCTTCTTTATTTAACAAAGATGCCTTGGCTTCTTCTGGTGAGGTGCAACATCTGTTACATCTACCTCCATATCCTTGACAACATCCATGGCGGCATCCACCTCCCCATCCACTGCCACCGCCACCTCCACCTCCACCATAGTTTCCTCCTCCGCCGCCATAGTTTATACCATACTGTCCGTCATCACCCTTAGCTTCTACCTTATGCGCGTCAACAGCTTTTCTTGATTTTGCTTGATTTTCCGCAAACGCCTTGGCTTCTTCTGGTGAGGCGCAACATCTGTTGCAACTTCCTCCGTGTCCTTGATAACAGCATCCATGATGGCATCCGCCACCCCATCCGCTGCCACCTCCACCATAGTTTCCTCCGCCGCCACCATAGTTTACACGATACTTTCCTCCATCTTCTTTAGCTTCTGCTTTATGCGTGTCCGCAGCTTCTTTTGCTTCAAGATAAAGTAAAAAAAAAAAATCAATATTCTTACAACTTAATTTTAATAATCAGTCACGAGAAAGGGAAGATACGTACTCTGAGGCGTCGTCTCTTGCTTGGAGAGATCGTCAGCAAAAGTGGATGAAAGGAGAATGATCACAATTAGTGCAAAAAGCAAATATGAGTTGGTCTTCATTTTCGATGTGCGTTTCTATGGGCATGGAAGCCTCTATTTATACTGAATTTAGGGTTTGGATATGAAACTTTTGCATGCTATGGATGGATGGATAGTTCAAAATATTGGGAGGTTGATGGTCAAACAATCATCGTGTTTTCGATTCCCACTCGGTTGTTGCAGTCGAGGATTAGGTCATTAGGTGTGGCCATGCAGGTTGTGGCATGTGTCTTTATTGACTCTGTTGAGTGACACCTGGAAGTTGAATACAGGTTTTAGTGTGGCCTTTTGCTTTTTTCTATGCTTAGTTTATCCTCATCGGCTTATATCTTTGGACCTTTGTTTGTTTCTGCTACAAATCGGCCTGAATTCAAAGCTTACACACAGAAGAATTAAATAAAATCAGAAAACGAACAGAATTATCCATTGGTAAAATAGATTTTATATCTTGGAAAAAGAATACCTACGGATTAGGTTTTTTTTTTTTTTTTTTTTTTTTTTTTTTTTTTTTAATATGGTTGATGAGTTGATCTATATTAAAATGTTTTTTCTTAGTCATTTAAGAATTTTATGATTTATTTTTTATCTACTTTTTGAAAATGTTTTTTCTTGATCAACAAATAAAATACTTATGATTTACTTTTTTATTTATTTTTTGAAAATGTTTTTTAAGTCATCAAATAATATAATTTTTTTTATTTAATTTTATCTATTTTTTGAAACATACACATGTTTTTATATTGAATAAATTACTGAAATGGTCCCTAAGGTTTTATCAAAATTACATTTTTGTTCCCTAACTTTTTGTTGCATTCGGATAGTTTCTGGGGTTTGATTTTGTTGCGTTTTTCATCCCTTACATACATAAAATTAGGGACCAAACGTGCATTGTTGACCAAACCGTAGGGACGAACAACACAACAAAATCAAACCATAAGGCGATCTGACTGTAAAAAAATGTTATGGACCAAACGTACAATTTTGATCAAACCATAGGAACGATTTTAATAATTTACTTTTTTATATTTTAAAACTTATTTATGTAGTTACTAATTTTTTTACTAATAGCTGAAATGATGCACTTTTTATTATAGTTTTATATACATGGCTTGTTTATATGTCTTTATATTCAAATTAAGAGAAAACAATGCTTCTGTGTATATATTATATGAATTTATGGCAGCTTTACAGGGCAAAATTGAAAATGACATTGTAGTCTTGTAATAGTTTTGGAATTAGTTTTACTAGTTCTTCATCTCTATCGAGACTGCACTGAATACATTGATCGGTGTAGGTAATTACCTACGGATTAGCTACGGAATATGCTTTCCGTTAGAATTCCGTAGTTATTCCGTAGCTAATTAGCTACGGATTTGCTACAAATTTTTCTTATTTTTGATTTTTCGGGCACCAAACGTCGTTTTTTTCGCTCCGTTTTTTTCACACCTCTATTATACATGATTATCTATATTTTCACCAATTTATAGCTATAAATATCATTTATAAAGGTGTGTATACATACGAGATCCATTGCTCGTTTAGTGGTTTAACAATATAATGCTTATGAATACGTTCACATACATCTCACAAACTCATACACATCATCATCAACAACAACATCAACATCATCATCATTATCATCATCATCACCATCATCATCATCATCATCACCATCATCACCACCACCACCACCATCATCATCATCATCACCATCACCACCACCATCATTATCTGTTGGGTTTTGAGCATTCTAACACTACTAAGTGTACATGCAACCCCAAATACCTTGGATCTATGTTTTCTCTATTATACATGCAAATAAGATCTTTCCAAGGCTTTAATCCTAAGTAGCATATTATGAAGTTCTTATACTACAAAGTACTAGTTAGATAACATACCTTTTGATGTAGCTTGATGTCTTCAAGCTTTAAGAGCTTAGCCCCAATAGTGTGGAAGCCTCAAGTGGAATCACAAATCACCAAAACACCTTGGAAGACTTTAGAGAATATGAATACTTGGTTCTCTTTAGTGAAATTGGGTAACCCTTCTTAGTGTACCCACACTAGTGCCCATTTCACCAACTAAGGACATCTTTATATAGTATGAAGACTAGGGTTAAACCCATGACCTTTCATTTCATATGATCCATGGGTTAAAGACTCCATGGACTATCCATGAAAGCTTACCCAACCTAAATGAACTTGCCCCATTCCATATATATATATATATATATATATATATATATATATATATATATATATAAGAGTCCATATTTAATTAGTTCATTTCGATTACTTAATTAATTCTAAATTAAGTCTTGATCAATACTAATTAAATAATATGATTCCTTATTAATATATTAGAACTTATAATATATTAATATAAATCATAAATATACTATTTTCAAAAGACTATCCATATAAATTGTATCGGTGAAGTGCAACCCAAACGGACCATGCCGGGTCGGGTCAAGTACATACTAAATATAGTTATGGACTTAGACATTAATCCAATAGTCTCTCACTTGGATAAGTCTAAAACTATTATTGAGTATGACTTCAAAACCCAACTGGCAATCGTAGCTCTTAAAGCCGCTGTCGAACTCTGATCTTGTCAACGAACATGTCCATTAGATAAGGGATCACATATTCCTCCATTCTAGATATCATATGGACTGAGACATGGATTATAATCATTCTCTCTGTCCATTTGTTGTTTCCCGATTTCTGATTTATGACGACTAACTAATTGAACAAATCAGATCAGTCCTGGCCCGATCGAGAACTTCCATTTGTCATCATCAAATCATCGAGGGGTCCACAGATATCGCTTTTATCCCAAAGGTAACAGGAATGGATAAACTTCGACTCATATGGCTTGTTCTACTACTTGTTGAATCATACACAAAAGGCACGTTTTATAACACCGAGTTACCGAATGCGTTTTCGTGCAATCAATGTACAACCAACTCATAGTAACAACTCATATCTCTAGGTTTGAAGAATATAAGATATTATCGTCTCATGATCACTCGTGATAAAATCCATGAAGTGATTCCAATGAGTACGGGTTGAATCCAATACTCAGAACTTATGAGCACTCATGAGTGTTGTAGCCCTTTGTCCAACACCTTAGACCTCTACAAGCTAACCCATGACAATCTTAATTCATATCTACTTCCAACATATGACCGACTGTGGATGGTTTGAATAACTTAGTCATTCCGGAAGAATAACCTAGTTTATTCTGGAAGTCAAAACATGTAAAATGAAACACAATAATAATTGAATCCAATATGGTCTCAGAACTTATGAATATAAATAAAACACATTTTATTTATCACCATATGATTACACATTATTCATTGTATACTGTTTCAGCTATCAACTTTATTCTTGAATTTAAAATAATAGTTGTCGCATGCTCCAAGCATGTACACTATGTTTTCTAAACACTAGTCATGCCATACACCAACTATGCATACTATGTTTGTCTATGATCTTTACTTTGTGAAATAGATTAACAGAACATAACTCCAATGATCCTTTTTCACAATCCCAAATCCTTACTGCAAATGCAAGAATTCCAAACTCATGCCATTTACTAAAATCTGTTAGATTCTAAACTTATATGCATTAATCTTCTTGTAATGATTATGCACAAATTCACAAAGACTTGGCACCAATCATTACAGAGTATTCCAAAGGAGATCAACTCCTTGGAAACATCTTTCTTGCATTAAGTTTCCTAATCTCACACAGATTGAATAATTTATAACTTTGATACATTTCCAGATTTATTTTGACTATCACTTCTAAACAAGAGTTGCCTCCTTATAGATTATGTAAACATGGTCCTTCCAGAATTAATACTATACTTCCAACTGTCCTTGAGCACCCAATCTTTGGTAAACCTTAGATCGTCCTCGACAATTGTTTAATCCTTTTAGTCATATCCAATTCTAGACCTTTTCCCTTCTTAATGCCCCAGGCATTTGGAAAATTTTAGAACGGATGAATATAGCACATGTAATCGATACTATATTCGAAGCATATGGGACACGATTCATGATGTCTCACATAAAGACTACACTAGTCTTTTGCTATACTATTTCCATTTCAATTTGCCAAGTTCTCATAATTCAGATTATGAAAATGGATGTCGTAATCATAATCGAATTTTAGAACGCAAATAATGGACCCATATATAGAATTTCCTTATGTTGAGCCATTCCAACATGAAATTCATATATATATATATATATATATATATATATATATATATATATATATATATATATATATATATATATATATCCTTGACTAAATACGATTAAAACCTCAATCTAAGCTTTTAGATTTGAGATGAAGTATAATTTCCTCTCCCTTAATTATAGCAAAACAACTCTTTCCCAATTGAAACTTTGTTTTCTATAATTAACATTGCTAACTTGCAATCTTTATCCTAATTATCATGCTCCCACTAACATGATGATTATGAGCATAACACTTATGCTCCTACTAGCTTTGACATGTACTCAGAAATCAGCTGACTTTCTTACCAAAGATCAGATTTCTGATACTAGATTGTTTTGATAAAACTTTATCAAAATCACACACCTTGCCTTAGATAGCACACTTATGTGTCTGAACAATTTTAAGAACTATGAAAAGGGATGCCGTAATCATAGTATCGATTGTTTAGACCTTTGCTGCTTCTCACAAGTCCAGGTTAGTGTGCCGGTAAACCACACACGCTCCACTAACGAGTTTGAGAATGCAAATATTACAATTGCTATCTAGCTAAAATCTACTTAGTGAAAGAGTTTCCTCACCATCATTTTCATGAATCGGAGAGAAACCTTATGACACTTAGATTTACTGGTGTATGTAGTCTTATCCATGTGAATTGTCAAAACCATAGTCACAAGACAAGGATAATGACAAATCCAAACTCATATGAACTGAACTCAATCTTAATTTCTTGCCATCTGGCAGCTCAAGGGCCTGCCATTGCTTCCA